GGGCTGGGCTGGCTCAGGCCAGGAACCCCATGCTGTGCCTCTGCATGCAGGTGCCAGTGCTGGGAGGGGTATCTATGGGGGGCTAAGGTGAATTTGGAGGGGCTGTGCCCCCACCACTGCTCTGCGTTTGCCTGACCTACATCTGCTTGCCTCCCTGCTCCCCTTCCTACCTCTCTGGCTACTGCCTCCCCCTCCCTGCCAGCTGTTCTGGGAGGCATTGGGGCTGGTGGGGGGTGCTGCCACCGTGATCCCTCCCTTTGCCCTCTGGCAGGGAGGGGCGGGGGAGGAGAAGCCCTGCTGCTCGGGCAGCCGGGGCATGTTCCCTGCTGCCAAACTTTCCTGGCAGTAGTGCAAACTTGGGCCCACAGCTCGGGCAGCCCAGCCAATCGCCGGCTAAAAATGTTACGGACAGACAGACACACAGACAGACTAAGCCTTTTATTATATTAGAATGCTGTGGTTTTTGCCTCTCTGCCAATCAGTGGTGAGGGGCGAGGCCTCTGGGGCCTCTCAGCCAATCAGTGGCATGTGCAGCTCTCCACAAAAAGACCCTGAAATAGGCTCTGCGCATGGCTTGCAAAAATCCCTTTGTCTCACTATGATTTAGGTATATACCTTTAGGGATATATGTGGGGAAGGGGAAGTATGGGGAGGTGGGGGGTGAAAACTTGTCCTTTCCTGATCCTTGGAGATGCTGTGAATCTATGACATATGCTGTCCTGGAGTCATGCAGCCCAAGACTGGGACTTGAGGTTCCGATTATAGTACTATCCTGCCCACTTAGGGATGGGTGGTCATCCTACCTGTCCCATACCTAGAATGGGAGTTCCTTGCTTGCTGTCCCCTCAGGCAGGGAAGGGGATGAGGCAACACTAGAGGGAAGGATAAGACACAGCCACAAATAGGGGTTGGGGGAGCACATGCAGCTCTGTAGGTGGGGTGAAGGGGAGGAAACACAAGCCCTATAGTGTTTCCACTATACGGCCAATTTTCTAGGGTGGGAAGGGTTTAAATGCAACCTCCAACATTTTTGCACAAAAACAGGCATTTTCCATTGTGTGGAGGGAAAATAAACCATTTCTCTCAGAGGGGGCATGAAAAAAAATTACATGGAAAATTAATGACCTGTGCTGTGAGGAGAACAGGGTGAAATCTTACCAGCAGGAGCTAAATCCTGGGCAAGGAGGGAGGGAAATAGACATATGGCTACTGTGTGGGAGCCAAAGATGGTCACACAAAAACACTGTGCTCCCATCTGGGAGGGCAAAGGTTCTTATGGTCTCAATTCTCCCTGACACTGGGTGCGTCTACACTTGCCTTAACATGCTTTAGTTAATGCACATTAAGTCTAGTACCTAGGGGCATTTTTACATTTGCAAGTGCCGCAGTGCCAGGTGCTTTGAAAAACGCCCGGTGCATGCAAGCTGATGTGCACTATGCTGAGCCATATGCAGTTGTATAAGTGGCAAAATGCGTGTTAGTGCTGAGAAAGTGGTGGGTGTGTGCTTTTGAATTAAAACACCTCAGAGGTGCTTTAGTTCAAAAGTGCACCGCTGCCATTTTCTGTGCACTGACACGCATTTTGCCTCTTCTACAACTGCAGGTGGCTCAGCACAGTGTGCATCAGCTTGCATATGGAGCAGACTCGATTAATTGCATTTGCTCAGAAGTGGTGGATCTCCAGCACATTGCTGAACAAAAAAGTATGTGTATAAATGCCCTGGGGCACTTTTACATGTGCTCTGGTCTGAGAGCCGCTCTAATTAAAACACCACTGTGTCTCCTCTATCAGCGTCTCTGTGCTTAAAAATGGAGGAGGACGTACTTGAACTCAAGCTCGTTTGACATTTTTAAGTGCGGGGATGCTGATACATGAGTGGCAATTACCACACTCTAGCAGACTCAGTTAATCGAGTATGCTCTGATGTGCTGGAATTCCAGCATGTTGGAGCAACTTCTGTCCTTGTGTATAGGTGCCTTCTAGGCTTATAGATTCATAGATGTTAGGGTCGGAAGGGACCTCAATAGATCATCGAGTCCGACCCCCTGCATAGGCAGGAAAGAGT